ACACGGACCAGCTTGAAACCCTCAGTGGGTGTGACACCAATGCCAGGCGGCACCCACGGCTCCCACCTTCCTGAGTGAATGTCGTTCTGTCCGTCCTGCTTGTCTCCATGGTTATTGTGTTTTACAGGTTGTCAATGGAAGTGCTACCTATTTTTAGATGTGAATTTTTATAAATGAATTAATTAGGGAAAGAGCCTCTGTCTTGCTAAGTACAAAGAGTCCCCAACTTTTATATGTAACATGTTCCCAGGAACATATATGAAAGCCCAATGTGCCAAAGTCAGAACCTAGACTTGGGTGTCATAGGGGAGCTTCTGGCCCCAGCAAGCAAACACTGAGCCGCAGGAAGGCGGATCCTATACTGGAAATCACTGCGTTTGTTTTCATCTTGGTATCATTGGTTGAATGGCTAAACCATCACCCTCTCTTGATGCCCCTGGGGGTTCAGGTTAAGGGATCCCTAAAGAGGAATGGCAGTTAAATCTGAGCCATTGGGACCACAGGAAGCATGAACCCAGACGCAGGAGTTGAGGACTGATGTCCAGACGGGAGGCCTCTCCCGTTGCCCACCACCCCTCTGCTCTAGTGTTCTGACTGCCTACCTAACAAGCCTCCCTAACTGCGCCTCTGCCTGTGCCATTCTCTCCACCTGGAATGTCTCCCATCCTGTTTTGCCAGCCGAGGAGCATCTGCTCATCTTACATGACTCAGCCCCAGCCTTTCCTGACCTCCTCAGGGACACAGATCCCTCCTCCTTTATGCCTCACTAGATCATGGACGGCCTATGACATAAAGCCTTTATCGCTTCTACTCATTGGTGTCACTTTTCCCTGCTGCTAGATTGGGATTCAGAGCCTGGAACATAACAAGTGCCCAATACTTGGAGGAAGGGAGGAGGGGGTGGGGTCGGGGAACAGATGGAAGGGCGAATTTTGATGCTGTTCAACTTAGAATGTGTGGAATGCATTATTTGATCTTAAGGGTCTCAGGAATCTGTGTAGCATAAGGAAAGGAACCAAAAAGAATTTCTTTCTGGCTCCTGGTTTAGCATTTGGCATGCAGCTTGAAGAGCACTAAAGTATTCTGAAATCAAAACAGAGGACAGATCTAGTGACCCCACACTTAACACCCTCTAGCATGTCGGGGTAGTTTAATCATCTGGCTTATTCTTCTGAGACCATGAGAACAGAGGCTTGGAGAAGTGATTAACCCACCGGCCGTGTAGCCGGTTGGTGTAGCCGGGGTGGTAATTGTGTGCAGTCTCCTGCCCTCCTGATCCTATGTTAGTTAATTTCACACATCAGAACACCTGTGTGAGTTTCATAAATTAAAAAACACAACACAAGAGAGAACCACTGATTTCACTTGATCTCTGCCAGTGGCTCCTGTAAGCTGAGGGCATCTTCATCCTAATGCAATCTGGTTTGCAGATTCTATTGGTTGAACAAGCTGATGGGGTAACTGGAGAGCCGTTAGGCCTGTTTGGTCACAACAGGGCCTCAGCCGGTGTTTCTAGTCTCATCAGTGTGGCTCCTGTCCTCAGTCAGGTCCACGGGTTAGGAGGGTTAGGAGAGCATGAACACAGGACCCTCCTGCAGGGCAATAAGGAAAGGAATGTAGGAACTGGCCCTCTGCACCCAGAAGTGCAACAGCGTCAGGAGTGGAGTGATGGGATATCCGGCCCCTCCCTCGCGCTGGCAGAATCTGAGGCCTTTAGAAAATGGAACAGAAAAGTCACAGCTTTAGGGAGTGTCTTCCCTTATTACTTCGTTCAGCACATTAACAAACTTCACGTTTCGTTGAATGGGAAGTCCCTGTTTGACCAAAGGGTAATGCTGTTCTGAAAATTCAATGTAGGAATGTCAGATGATAGCATTGAATGGAAGCTAAGGAAGCATTTTTTTACACATATGTCTTTTTTTTTAAATATGTTTTATTGACTTTTTTTTACAGAGAGGAAGGGAGAGGGATAGAGAGTTGGAAACATCGATGAGAGAGAAACATCGATCAGCTGCCTCCTGCACATTCCCTACTGGATATGTGCCCGCAACCAAGGTACATGCCCTTGACTGGAATCGAACCTGGAACCCTTGAGTCCGCAGGCCGACGCTCTATCCACTGAGCCAAACCAGTCAGGGCTACACATATGTCTTGTAAAGGTCCTTTTCCTAGTAGTGAGCCTTCTTGTTCTAACCATGTGCTCTTTCCCAGACGTCTGTTTGTCGGAAAAATGGCTGCTTTGTGTGGAAATGATTAGCACGCTGCCTCATTTCTTCTGCGGCTGATTTTAAGTTGGCAGCTACTCTTTTCTCTGTGTACTTACAGCCTGGCAGGAAAACGAAGTCTAGTTTATTTGGGGGGCTGTCTTCCAAGTGTTGCTTATTGCTGAGAAGCTAAGGACAGTTGGTTTATGGGAGCACTGGAGCATCCATCTGCCCCCCAGCGCACGGGCCCACATCTTCCCATGCTGTAACCCAGGGATGCCTGGTTGCAGAAGAAAGGGATGGTATTTTGGGATCTACCTTGATTGAAAAGTTCTGAGGAATTTTCTTTTTCCATCTACAACAGTGGTTCCCAAACTTATTTGGCCTACCGCCCCCCTTTCCAGAAAAAATATTACTCAGCCCCTGGAAATTAATTTTTTTAAAATTTTAATAGCAGTTACTCATCGCCCCCCAATGCACCTGTGGCCATCACCGCCCCCCTGGATCGCTGCAGCGCCTACGGGGGGGGAGGGCGGTAGCGCCCACTTTGGGAATCATTGATCTACAAGAACCTATAATCATGATTATCCTATCATGGCCAGAAAGAGAGCGTGATTTTTTACCAAGTAGAGAGGGGGCCACATGAAAACATGTCTTGCAGCTAAGGACACACTTGCATTCTCTCAGCCAAGAATGCAATGGAATAAGTGATGGAAGGAGTAAGAGGACAAAGAAAGATGTGCTCCTCCCTGTGGGAACCACAGGTCTCTCTAGCCCACGGAGAGCCCTCCCTAGTGGCCCTTTGCTTGGAATTCATCTGTTCATTCCTAAAGTTTGTGTGGGCCACCTCTGCTGTGCCTGGCACCGTGCTAAGGGCTCAGGACACAGTGGTGACCAGGGGAGAAGGGCTCCAGCTTCATGGCAGTGAGAGCCTACTAGGAAGGTTGGACACGATGAATAAAAGTCACTCCATAGTTCCTGTCCCTGTGTTAAACTGGAGGGGTCTATCCAAGGAAGGCTTCTCTGAGGGGTGACGTTTAAGCCCAGACCTAAAGGAAGAGCAGTGGCTGGTGGGTAATGCGAAGGGTGGAAGGAGGACACTCAGGACATAGGACCACGGGGCTTATTGTTAACCCATGTTGTTCATCCACAGTATCTGGCAGAGAAAGGCTGGGAAGCACCAGGGTCTGCCTCTATCTTCCCTGCCCCGGTCCCCTCTGAAGTCCAGTTCTCCCCTCTCTCATCAGGAGCTTTGGGGCAAATCACAGAAACACTCTGAGCCTCGGCTGTCTTATCTATAAAGTGGGTGATGCCTCCCAGGGCGTCGTGAACTAGAACTAACCCTCTGGTGACTGCAGCCCGGACCGTCGGGTGCTGGGAGCCCTCCTGGGGCCCGGGGCACTGAAGGCCTGGCATCCTCTCCACACAGTGCTCCAGGAACTGCAGCGGGGGCTTCCGGATCCGGGAGACTCAGTGCGTGGACAGGGAGCATCGCAGCCTGAGGCCGTTTCACTGCCAGTTCCTGGCCGGCATCCCTCCCCCGCGGAGCATGAGCTGCAACACGGAGCCCTGCGAGGAGTGGCAGGTGGAGCCCTGGAGCCAGGTACAGCCCCTCGGGCACCGTCCACATGGCCGGACCACGTGACTGTCTGTGTCCCCGCGCGAGTCTAGAGCTCAGGGAAGACCACACCTGTCTGGTGCCAATGACTGGCCGCCATTCAGTGACCCAACGCTGTGTGGGGAGGCTCACCGTGTCCACGACGTGAACTATATTGTATGGTTCCCATGGTGACACACCAGTGCCTTTATTAGAACCTAGTGTCCCAGTGGATGCACAGGGGACTTGGGGTCCCTGCTGGGGACACGTACATGGACCATTGTGATGAGAGCCGTTTAGATCGGAGCCTCACATGGCTCTCCTGGGCTTCTGCGTCAGGCTGGGGTGATGGACAGACCCTTTCCACACAGTATATTTTAGAGTTCCACCTTTCCGTCAAATGCCCAGATCATTGCACAGAGAAAAAGAAGTGTGTGTGTCCGTGTCCTCTGTTTTGTGAGGGCCCAGACCCTGCTAGGTCTTTGTCCTACTTCAACACAGGGAAACAAGGTTACTATTCTTTGGTGAGGTATGATGATCTAATTGCCAATAGCAAATGCCTCAGTAGACAAAAATGCTGCTCCCAAATACATCCATGCCTGGTAGGAAAAAGAAAAAAGGACCCAGCATGTTTTGAGGGTGTCTGTGAGCTAGGCATTTTGCCTACAATATTTGGTTTAATTCTCACAACAGCCAGGATAGTAGGCCTATGAATTCCACTTTATTGGTGAGGACATTGAGACTCAGAGGTTAAGAAGCTTCCATGAGGTCACACAACTAGAAAATAAATTGGTGGACTATTAATTCAAGCCTAAGGCAGACTCCAGGGCCTGTACTCTTTCTACTGTAGACCTTAGCCCAGTGACCACTGAGCAGAGAATGAACTGAGGAAAAAGAGTTAAATTAAGAATATTTGGGTGAACCTACCGGGTGCCAGGGAAGGGAAGGCAGAGAACCACAACTATAAGATATAGAGTTTGGGTCAAACTATGGAGGATGGATTCCCCTAGAGAGCTACTTCCTGTCTACTGGGTCAAGCAGCCATGCTGATTTCTGACCCTCTGGGCCAACACCTGGTGTTTCCTGGGGCAGCAGCCACCACTGTCCCCTCTTTCTTGTCCTTCCACTGCCCAGCTCTGGAGAACATGAAGTACCTGCTATTCCCATGCTCGGGGTGTAGGCCCTCGTGTATGCTAAGCCTGATGGTGGCTTCCAGAGTCCTAGAATTGACAGAGGAGCTTAGATTGCCTTGTCGGAGAAATGGCATTTGCAGGTTATCACAGATGAGCAGTTATATCTGCTCTCTGGTTATGAAAGAAATGTATCCTTTATACTTCCTCAGTAGCTTCTGGGAGCCCCAATCATGCACCTGTTCCCAGGGCCTCCTACCACCCTCCTTCTAAATGTCTCTGTTCTGAGCAAACCACCAAGTTGTAAGTCTTCCGTCCTAGGCTCCGAGCAGTGAAGATGGAAAATGAAAAAGTCAGTTGAATACATCCTTGGAGCTGTTGAGGGACTGGGCATATTAGGTGCTTTCCTGAGCCGTCATGATGCTGCTCTGTCCACACACACTGTCTAATGCCACACGGGAATGTCAGTGGAGTCAGCCAGCCCAGACTGCTTGCAGCTGTGGGAACGTCTCTGCTCCAGTGGGTGGCAGACTTCAGCATGCTTCAGAGTCACCTGGAGGGTTTGCTCCCACACAGATGTCTAGACCCCCACCCCCAGAGTTTCCTATTCAGAGGTCTGGGGTGGGGCGTGAAATTTTTCATTTCTAACAACTCAGAAGATGCTGCAGCTGCTGGTCTGGTGACCACACCTCAAGAACCACTGGTTTATATCTTCTTCATCCCTTTCACCTGGAGATTACACGGCCAGGTGGTCCTGCATCTCTATGCACATGTGTAGGTACACACACGGATCACAAATGCGGGGTTCCTCTCCTCTCCTCATGGAGTTAAAAATGGAGTGAATAAATGGGGAAAAGTCCATGTTGACTCTCAAAGTTGGACCATTGTGGAAGCAATAGATTGGTTCTTTTATTGAGCAGAAAGGGCTAATTGTATATAATTTGCATTTTCCATGGTACCACCATACACATAGTGCCTGACATGATATGGGCAAGATGTTGACACCCATCATTGTTTTGTGTGGTTTTTTTTGTTACCATATGATAATTAAGATTCTTCAAAGTACTCAAAGTGCTTTTCAAAGATTCTTGGTGAATTATTTAATTCCCTCCCAAAATTTTTAGGCAGAGGAGACAATATGTCTTGTAAAATTATTTTAGTGAGCAAAAAGCTGACACCTTTTAGAGTTGTATCCCTTGAGGAACCAACTTGTCATTTCAGATTTATTTTGTGAGCATTACAGCCAGTGCATGAGAACCCTGAGCAAACTTACTAACTTGCCTATTCAGAATAGACACACATGTAATTCACAGCTTTATGCAGTAGGAAAAGAAGCTGAATCCCATTTTAACAGGAGATGAACAAACTTGTATTGCAAATGTGCGTGCTCACAGCTAATCATAATGAAAATGTCTACATTTCACATTCCCGTTTCTAGACCCTGGGGCCAGAAGGCAAAACACAGATAACAACATCCATTCTGGAATGACTCATTTCGTATTTTAACCAAAATTCCTTCTGTTGACATATTTGACATGGAGCTATTTGGCATCTTCTGCTTTTTTCTCCTCCTCTTATCCTCAGAATTTCCTTTGTGTCCTTCCTTCTCTCTCATTTGGTTTCCCCACTGTTATTTGAAGGGACTGAGTGGTCGTAAGGAACTTGTAACAGAGGCTCAGATTCCAGTACAGATACTAATATTCTAAGTAACACTGCACACGACAAAAGTGACCATAGAAAGTTCTTCCCTTCTCACTGCAGACGTCTTCGTGTGATTTTCTCTTTTTTTGTTTGTTTGTTTTAATTTTGTTTTATTGCTTAAAATATTACAAAGAATAGTACATATGTCTTCTTTTTTTTCCCCCTTGACCTTCCCCCGGCCTCCCCTACCCCCCAGTGTCTTGTGTCCATTGGTTATGCTTATACCTAACCTGTCCCTGTTGTATATTAGTGCTCCAGGTCCTGTGGAGGCGGAGTGCAGGAGAGAGGTGTGGCTTGTCCGAGAGGCCTCTGTGATTGGGCACAACGGCCGGTGTCCACTGCCCCCTGCAACCAGCACCCCTGTTGTCACTGGGCCACGGGGAACTGGGACCTGGTAAGTCAGTTGTGTTCTCTTCGTATCTTTACTCTAAAAAAAGCATTGGTTTCCTTTAGTTTCAAAAGAACATATATTCATTGTAAATGTTCAGTGTGTCCACTGACTTACAGTGTGTCTCTATATGTTTTAGAGCTAGTATCCTTCTGCTAATATACCTCTAAGTCTGCTAAGGTTGACCCAGAGCTGACATGGTGGTCAATGTTTGCTGTCCTGAGTTCAGAAGAGGAACAGATCAAAGACTTTCAAAAGATAAAGATCAAATACCAAACTTTCCAGAGGCACGAACCCTAAGGAAAGGCACTTCTGGCCTGAACGTCTCTGATGCTCTGGCTTTTCTTAGAGCAAATGGGACTCGCATGTGCCTGGAGCTTGAGGCTTAGCCTAACGAGCTCCAGGCCTCTTGTCCTCTGCCGATCAGTTTGCCAGGTGGCAGCCAGTTGGATGGAGAGACAAGGAAAAGAATTAAACTGGAAAGGAGGAAAGGATTTCTTATTCAAAGTTGTTTCATTGTATAAATAAAACTATCAGTGATACTGTAAATTAAATAAAATTCTTCCATAGACAGATTCAGTGGTCACTCTGACTTGTCTTATCCTGGATTCTCTAGAAAATAAAGCCTTGAGGCAAAATTAATCACTTTATTAGGAAATACAATGCCCGGGAAGCAGATGTGATAGGAAAAAGGAAGGAAACAGGGAACGGGGGAATCGGATACAAGCTGGTGCACTCCCAGCCTGACCTTGCCCAGGGTCTGGACCAGTTGATCACCCATCCTCAAAAGGCCTTATAAAAGCCCTATGCACTGCTGCCTCTTAGGGCAGTTTGTCCAGAGGCAGGAAGAGAGAAGTCTACTGGCTCTTGTGTCCCAGGAATGGGTCAAAGCTCTCCCCTCAATTGGCTAATACCCGCCATTGCCCTGGGTTAGTCAATGGGCAGGTCCCACCGGGTCTCGTATATCATTGACAACAAGAAAGCAAATGGCAAATGGCGATAGTTCATCTTTTCGTGGCTGAGAAGTGTTCCATTGCAGTATGTACCACATCTTCTTTATCCAGTCCTCTGTTGAAGGACACTTAGGTTGATGCCATGTCTTGGCTGTTGTAAAAATAATTTCGCAATAAACATAGGGGTACATATATCTTTACAAGTAAGTATTTACAAGTTTTTTGGATAGGTACCCAGAATTTTAAAAGCATATCTATGGTAAATTCAGACATTTTCTTACATGCCCAGGAATCATCTTGTCTAAGCTGCTTTTCCAGGCCAGCAAACCTCCCTTCTGCCTGCCGGTGGCCACCTCATGGCCTTACCATGGAGCCTTACCTGTTAGCATGGCTTGAGACCACACGTGGTCCAGCTGGGTCCATTCCACATCCTTTCTCCATCCCACTGTGGTTTTCCTCTCCCACCTCTCTTTTTATCCTGCTCTCAGCTTTCTTTGTAGCTCTGTGCCCTTTCCTCACATCTGATTTCCAGCCCCAGATCAAAGCTAGTTCAAAGAAACTGGGTTGCCAAGAAACCAGGGCCCAAATAGACTTTTTTTTTCTGTTTTACACATAATTCAACCTCTGTACACATTCTACTGAGAACCCAATAGTAAATTAAGCCCACTTCAGTCCACACAATCTGTCATATGGACTCCTCCTAAGTTCACATCTCCACATTATTAGTGCCTTTGACTAATGACTGTGGCTCCAAAACGGGTCCTGAGGCTTTCCACTGGACCACGGTGGGTTGGAGGCGCTCGGCTGAGTTCCCCGGTGGGTCCGGGGGAGAATTCTGATTTCCCATGTGCCCCACTCTTTCAGTGCACGGCTTCCTGTGGGGGTGGCTTCCAGAAGAGGACTGTCCACTGTGTTTCCTCAGAGGACAATAGAACTGAAGGTCAAGACCAATGCCAGTGTGACCATGAACCCAGACCTCCCGAACTCCAAGAGTGCAACCAGCAGGCCTGCAGGAAGAGTGCTGGTGAGTGGAGGGCTTTGCTCGGGGGGAGAGCTTTTCACAGGTAAGTTGTCCTGCATGACTTGATTCCTGGGTCGCTGCAGTCCCCTTTACTGAGCCGGGAACTTACTGCTGAAAGGCCAGCCGGCATCGCTGGGAGGAAGCAGTCTGACTTGGTGAGGTGTGACTCTGATTCCTTAAGGGATTGTCTCATCCATTTTCCTAAAGCCCATTCACACTGTCATCCCACATGGATGAGAATCACTTCTCCTTCTTCAAAGACTTTTCAGAGATGCTCCCGCCTTCTCAGAATCCCAGTCGTGTACTGCATGGCCCTCTGTCATTCCAGCACCCTGCCTTAGTTCCACAGGAACTGACTCTGAGATGCAGGTCTGTGTGCAAGGGAGGCATTAAGGAAACACTCTTGGGAAGGACCATTCGGTGAGTGCGGGAAGCAAGACAGAAAGGAAGCCCCACCAGGCTGCCATCTTCGGTGCAGTCCTCGCTTCAGCCTGGTCCCCTGGGGGAGCTCCAGGGTGCAAGCTCTGCCTCAGTTGTCTGTCACACACTCCAGCAGCTTTCTCTCTCCGCCTAGAAAGCCTTAAGTGCCTGCAAATTCACTTCCCCTGGGGTAGCCGGTGGCCAATGGCTGAAGAGTGTGGGGTGTGACAGTGCAGCTCACTGGCTTCAGGAGCTGGACTGAGACAGAACTTGCATCCTGGAGCTCCCGGTGGGACCAGGCTGAAGCGAGGACTGCGCCGGAGATGGCAGCTGGCGGTGCTTCCTCCCTTCCTGTCTTGCTTCCCATGCACTCCCTTAGTGGTCTTCCCTGGGAGCGCTTTCTTAATGAATCCCTTGACACAAACTTGCACTCAGAGTCTATTCCTGCATGACCTAAGACCACTGGGCTAGATTAACATATCCAAAATCCATAAAGAACTCATACAACTCAGCAACTACAGAAACAAACCATCTGATTTTAAAAGGGGCAGAGGACCCGAATAGACACTTACCCAAGGAAGACACACCGATGGCCAACAGATATATAAAAAGATGCTAAACACCACTGGCTATAAGGGAAATGAACATCATAAACGACAATGAGATACTACTTCATATTTGTTAGAATGGCTGTTATAAAAAAAAAAACAAGAAATAAGTGTTGGGAAGGATGTGGAGAAAATGGAACTCTCGTACGCAACTGGTGGGAGTGTAAATTGGCACAGCCACTATGGAAAAGTGTATGGAGGTTTCTCAAAATAATTAAGACCAGGGCTACCATATGACCCAGCAATCCCTCTTCTGGTTATCTACCAGAAAAACAAATTGTAACGATACAGGTACCCCTATGTTCATTGCAGCATTATTTACAATAGCCAAGCCATGAAGCAAACAACCTAAGTACCTTTTGACAGATGAATGGATTTGAAAAATGATAACTGATAATACTAGGTGTATGTATACAATGGAATGGAACTCAGCCATAAAATGATGGAATATTTCCATTTTCCACAACATGGATGGATATTGAGAAGACTATGCTAAGTGAAATAAGTCAAGTGGAAAATGACAAGACCTGAGTGATTTCACTCATATGTAGGGTATTTTAAAAAGCAACAAACCAACAAATGAAAAAGGAAAAAGCTCATAGATACAGACAACAGAATGATATTTATCAGAAGTGAAGGGCCCTAACCGGTTTGGCTCAGTGGATAGAGCGTCGGCCTGCGGACTGAAGGGTCCTGGGTTCGATTCCGGTCAAGGGCATGTACCTTGGTTGCAGGCACATCTCCAGTAGGGAGTGTTCAGGAGGCAGCTGGTCGATGTTTCTCTCTCATCGATGTTTCTAACTCTCTATCCCTCTCCCTTCCTCTCTGTAGAAAATCAATAAAATATATTTAAAAAAAAAAAAAGAAGTAAAGGGCAGTGGGGGAGGATATATATGGTGATAAAAGGAGACGACTTTGGGTGTTAGGCACACAACAGAGTACACAGATGTCATATCATAAAGGTACACACCTGAAACTTATAGGATGTTATTATTAACCAATTTCACCCCAATACACTTAATTTAAAAATAAGATTTTGAGGCAATGGAACCCTTCTATGTTGCTTTAACTTTATCTAATTGAAGAAGCAACACAGTCTTGGTTGAACATGCCTAGTATTATCAGTTATTTTAAAATTATATGTAGATTCTCTTTAACTGCCTTACTGCTGAATAATATAATCTTCAATAGTCAAAACTGGGTTAAATGCATTCCTGGTAGTTTTATCTTGAATTCAAACACTGAAGAGATGGTAACTAACAGTTGGCTGGCAATGGGTGGGAATAATGAATTCCATTCGCCAACAATTACCAGGGCACGGAGTTAATTATTAGCTTCTCTTGAAAGCAGAGCCACGCTTACTCATGGAGAAACATATGAAAGAGCAGCTGTAAGAAATTTCTCAATTGAAAAGCCACCCACCCACCCTGTCTGCTGTGCCCTCTGATATGCATTGAACTAAGTCATTCAATGCCTAGATCCTTGTCAGCCATCCAGCCATCACAATAAATATACCCCCTGTGTCCATCTTGTAAGATCGGGCATGAGTTCATGTAAAGTTTGTTCTCCTCCAGGCCTTTGCACTTTTTTTGGGTGCCATCTAACTTGTTAATGAATTCAAATCTAAATCAAAATGACCGTTTCTGTAGTAGGGACTCTAAAAACCCTTTTCATGTATCTGGGCTAAGAAATAAAACATCAGAAATTTCATTCAGAAGTATTTACTGAGTATAAGCCATATTCTATGCATTACATTTGTAATTATTAAAAACCAAAGAAAAAAATCTTATGCATTCTATTCCTGGGTATTTTTTGTTTTAATTTGGGGAGTGAGGGGTAGAGAGAGCAAGAAAAATAATGAGGAAAGTAACAGGGACAGTACTTAGACCCAATGTTGATACAAATGAACATCTGAGCCAGCAAACTTCCTATTGGAGAATATTCTTGATGAATAGGATTTCGTTCAGTAATTCATTCAGCAAATAGTGTTGATAATGGCCTATTTCTCAGGCACGTGTTAAAAACCAAGGGTACGGAATAAGTAGGACAATCCCTGGCTTCAAGAACCCAGCGTCTTACAGAAACTGTATTTGTCAACAACATTGAAATTGATTTTCAACTTTCTTTTGTGGACAAACTTATCCTTTCAATCTGTACACAGCTGACAGCAAGGAAACGTGCTTATACTAGTAACTGTCCCTTTAAATTTCCAAGTATGCTTTCTGTTGAACAGGCAAAGGCAAATGGGGATCTCCTCTCCAAGTTACCCCTAGTTATAAGCATTGTGTATGGTTCGGCTGGGATCCAGTTGGCTGATGAATACAACAAGCCTCATTGTTTTACAATAATAATGAGAACAGATGCAATTCAGCCATGTCATGATGTTGGGCTCATAGCCATTGCCTAAATGAGCTGCTAAACATAGGCTGGCCCATAGGGGCCAATATAGGCCACCACGGTCCTCCACTCTTCCTTCCAGCCCCCTGCTCTCAAACAGGGGGCTCCCAGGACTCAGCAGGTGCCCAGGGCTCTTGAGGACCATTTGTGAAACCCTGGATGGAACCGCAGAGAATTACGTTAAGTGAAATAAGTCTGACAGAGCAAGACAAACACCATATGATTTTATGTATATGTGGAATCTAAAAAAAACAACACAGATGATCCAACAAAATGAAACAGAAACAAACTCATAGATACAAAGAACACACTGATGGTTGCCAGAGGGGAGGGGTTTGAGCAGGAAAAGGGGAAGGGGATTAAGAAGTAGAAACTGCCCGTTATAAAATAAGTCACAGGGATGCAGTGGTCAGTATTACCATAATAACTACATACGATGACAGGTGGGCACTAGACTTATTGAGGGGAGCACTTTGTAAGGCATATAAATGTTGACTCACTGTGTTGTACACCTAAAACTAATAGAACATTGTATGTCGGCTATAATTAAAAATATTTTTTTAAGGCAAAAAGGAAATAAAAGGCCAGGCCAGTGTGGTTCAGTGGTTGAGTGTCCATCCATGAACCAAGCGGTCATCAGTTTGGTTCCCAGTCGGGACACATGCCCAGGTTTCAGGCTTGATCCCTAATAGGGGGCGTGCAGAAGGCAGCCAATCAATGATGTTTCTCTCTCATTGATGTTTCTATCTCTCTATCTCTCTCCCTTCCTCTCTCTCTAAAAATCAATAAAAACATTTAAAGTAAAGTAAATATTTCCAAATAAGGTCATATTCACAGTTATCAATGATAAGGATTTCAACTTTAGAAGACACAAGTCAACCCACAATAGGGTTAAAACTTGGGGGTCTGTAGGAGGCCCTTTTTGTAATGGAAGACACCCTTGAGAGAGATCACACTTTGAGAAGAGGCTTACCCATATGAACAGAACAGTCCAAGTTAGAGCACAGCGCCACATTTGAGCAAACCATACAGTAATGATACCACTTCAGAGACTGGGATAGCAGAGGTCTATGTGATCCACGATGGCCACAAGAAGCTCTGTGGAGAGAGGGGTGTAAGCGGAGATTTCACCCCCCTCTGTCTTCCTCTCTGGACGTAGCCCCAGGGCACTCACGTACTCATGGCAAAAAGAATGTGGAGCTCCGTTTACCAGCAATGCACCTGCTCCGTCCACCATCCAAAGGCTTCGGAAGAGGCTGGGCAGCCTCCCCCAAGCTCCACGCCGGTTCCCAACCCAGAAGCCTGGGAAGGAACTCTTCCCTTGTCCTGCACAGCCGCCCCCGTGACACCCGGCCCAGGCCCCATGGAGAACGTGGCCTCCTGGGGGGGGGGGGGTGGGGGGGGCGGCGGGGAGGGTGTGGGAGACAGGGAGCTCACATTTCCTTCCGCAATAGAGATACTTGGCTGAAACATGTGCTCGTCCTCAGATGCCAGCGCATGCACCGAAGTTCCTGGGGAGTTTTAGGAGAGACGGGTTGCCATGACGGGTGTAAGAAGAGGCCTGAAGAAGAAAAGAGTGTTCCAGGAGCATTACATGTTACCTATTGTCAAGGGCACTTAAAATCTGCTCGCAAAATGGAATTTGAGAGATAACAGAAGCTGTTGATTTCTCCACAAAAAATAAACAAACAAAAAGCAAGGCATCGTGGGGGGAGTGATGTGTCCTGAAGAGAGAAAAAGAATTTTTTTGCCTTTATGACCTCAAGGTGGGAAAGCAGAAAGAGGCAAAAATATTGTTACAGGTTTAGAGTAACGAGGGTATTTTCTGAATTTCTGCTTCTATCTACAGTTCTATTCACAAAGGACAGAAGCCTGTGTGTGAAGAAGCTTTTCTCCGGGACTGTTCAAGTTTTTTCTGTGAAGGAGAAAGACAGACACCCAGAGCTCACAGAGGCACTCAAGCCAATTTTGAAACAATTTCACTTTCTAGAAGCAAAATCTGTGACTTGGACCTTAATTAATTCCTTTCAGACCTGGAGTCTGTGGGCCAGGCAGTCTGAGTCTCAGCTATAGAGTGTGTGGTGGTAGCTCCTGAGAAAACTAGTCAAACTCGCTGCTTTGTGTCTGAGGAAAGCAGCACGCGCGCGCACACACACACACACACACACGCCATATTAAGGAGCTTCTTGCCCTGAGCTAGTTAGAAGGGAACAAGGGTTAGAACCCAGGTGACGAATTATACACTTGTCATGGGCATTATCTGTGTATCTGATGCCTTCATCTCCATGTGCAGTTCTGGAGGCAGGGACCACAGTACTCACTGCTGAGCGATGCTCAGAGAGCTTTGGTTAGTTGGTTGACCGGGTGATTGCTGGGTGCTCTGAGTGGCATGACTACTAAAAGCAAGAGCCATAGGGTCAGTGCAGCCTGTGTCCAGATCGGGCTGTGCCGCTTGTCAGCCGGATGACCTTGTGCCGGTTCTTCACCCCTGGAGGTCTTACATCTCGCATTTGCAAAGCAGAAAGAATCACCGTACTGACCTGGCAGCACTGCTGTGAAGAGGGAATGAAGCGGTGCCCGTAACACACTGCATTCAGCTGTCGCATAGCAATGCCGTGTAGCAAAACAGCTCTGCACTCAGGGCCTTAAAACTACACTCATGTACTTTTTGTTCAGCCTCCACAGGTCAGCCAAAGTGCAGCTGATCGAGCCAGGCCTTCCTTGGCCTTGGCCGCAAGCTGTAGGTAGGGTTGAGGCCGGCTTCGTAAGTCTCTCACCCACCTTGGCTCAGTGCCTGCAGGAGCCACGTCCTCATGGTGATGGCCAATGCCCATCAGGGCAGGGCCACCCCTCCCCACACCCCAAGGCCCCACCGGGATCATGTCTCCTGGCGTCCCATTGCCCAAAGCAAGTCCGAGAGCTGACCCCACAGTGAAGAGCAGAGAAGTATTTATTTATCACCCACCTGGCAACCTGGCAAGGGTGGGAGTATTTAACACTCTACAGGGGTGAAGGCTTACAACTGATGATTCCATTTAACACAGATACTTCACACAACGCCTGGCACATAGCCAGTGGATGTCCACTATTATGATGAACTAGAGGCCCGGTGCACGCACGAAAATTCATGCAAGAGTAGGCCTTCCTTCCCCTGGCTGCCGGCACTCGCTTCCCTCCGGCACCCGGGACCCGGGCTGCTTCCTTCCAGCCACCCGCAGGCACCTGGGACCTAGGCTCGATTCCCTCTGGCCCCAGCTTCATCGGGAAGGATGTCCAGAATGACGTTCAGTCTAATTAGCATATTACCCTTTTATTATTATAGGCTGTTAAGGCACCTTTCTTGGTTCACGTATGAATGAACAGCAGTTGTGCTCATTCACTGACAAGGGTAACTGTCAGTACTTCCTGAATGTTTTTCTCCCTCCGCAGATGTGCTGTGCACCAAGGACAACTTGTCAGCGGGTTTCTGCCAGACGCTGAGAGCCATGAAGAAGTGCTCTGTGCCCACCGTGCGGGCTCAGTGCTGCCTCTCCTGCGCCCCGGCGCACGGGGTCCACGCCCGAAGGCCAAGGAAGCCACAGTTGCTCCAGAACCCCAAAGCGCTCTAAGTCCAGGAGGGAGCCGCCACCATCGCCCGCCGCAGCCTGCTGACCGTGCCCTCTGCTAACCCCCGGAACCGCTCCAGGAGTGTTCCTCTGTGCACTTCAGGTCCAACTTTGCGCCATAACAAAACAAAATCCGCTGTGTCCCACTCGCCACACAATGCCCCTCGCAGGAGGGCTGGGCCCTGAACACTGGCCGCTCCCTGATCAGCAGGGGGACACCCGGGAGAATTAGGCCGCTCCTGGCTCAGCTCCTGGGACAGGTGCTCCTGGGGCAAGTCTGTGAAACGGTGTCTCTTTTTCATCCCTCAAAGAGAAAAACAAAGAGGCCAGGTTTTTCCCAGACTACCTCAAAGGATCAGGAAACAGAGCCACACTGATCCAGGGAACAAAGAATCTTGTTAGTGGATCTTGGTAGAATCATCTTGCCCCCACCACCCCTCTCTGCTGGGGCAGCGGTTGTTTAAAGCATCACGGGAGAGCTTTTAAGAACATTCCCTTAGTTCATCTAGGCAGAGCGCCCCTTTCTTCACCCAGTTTTCAGGTAGAGAGGAGGAGAGAGTGCCCCTCCACCCTCGGTCTGTCCCTAACCCCTGGAGACCCCCTCTCTGAGCTGGTCAGACCCCCACGCCCGCCTAGAGACACTAGAACAAGAGGGAGCAGGTGGGGACTGGAGGGTTTAGTGATGCTACGGCATTTAGGTTACACAGAAGGCCAGGCTGGAGCAGTTGATGTGTGTTTCTGACCTGAACAGAAATTAATTTCGTGCTGATACAGTTAACCCTTGCACAACATGGCTTTGGACTGTGTGGGTCCACTTATACACAGAGTTTTTTTCAATTGAGATCTGTGCTGTTTCCATCTGCAGTGGGCGTCTGTGGGTGGGGAGGGCAGACTGGATGCATTGAGCTCTGCCGTTTTATGTAGGGGACTTGAGCATCCATGAGTTTTGGTATCTGTGTGGCGAGGAGTGGGGGTTGGGCCCTGAAATACTCCTTGGATACAAGGGGAAATTACATTCAGGGGAGGCAAAAGTTACATGAGGATTTTCGACTGCCCGGGGTTTGGCACCCCGACGCCAGCATTGTTCAAGGGTCAGCCATAGAGGAAAGGGAACGTGGGCCTTTATTCTTCCCACTTGCCTGGGGAATTTCCTTTCCTCGCTATGAGCAAATGTGTCTTCCTGTCTAATTCCCCCTCCGGCACATCCCCTGTCTGAGACATCAGCTCAGGTCGAACATCTTTTCTTCGCTGGGTTCACACACAACTGCTCCAACCTAGTCCATGGCCGCCCCCTCCCCCATTCCAGGTGGGAAAATGGAGCTCCAGGTTAAAATATCTCAAAGAATCAGATAAGTCGTATTAAATATAAGAACTTAGTACAAATTTCTAGTCTAGAGGGAAAAAAAGCCCTTCTCAAAAGTGAGGTAAGGATGACCTACTTCCCAGTGCTTACTTCGGAGGGGCTTTTTCTTTGGGGGACACAGGCATGTCAAGGGGAGTCCAAAAACCGAAATGAGAGAAGTCTTATCCTGGATGTTCCCACCACCCAACAGGAGCCGAAGTAGGCCGTGGTCTCAAATTCAAGGTGAATTCCTGGCTTCTAAGGGGAGGCATTTTCATGAACTGAACCCAGAGGGAGAGGGCGGGTGAGTGGGTGCGTGTGGGGCCTCGAGGGGAAAAAGCCCTCAGCTCCTGACAGAGGGAAGGCAGGAGGGTGGCCTTCATGCGATGGGCAGCATTTTTCAGTCACAGGTACAGTTCATCTTCATCATGGAACACAGCGTCCCAGATCTTGAATTATCTATCCGTTCAGCAGATGGTGCTATTGCAAAATGGTGCTAATATCTAGATGGTGGCAGAACTCACAGAAACATGTAAATAGATACAGACATGGGCAAGTCCACATCTTCTGTTCGATGTGTAGTGGTGTTGCTGGCCAATGCCTGTTCTATTACTTGGATACCAGAAACTCAAACATTTTTATACTGTGTGCTTTTTTTTTTTTCCAAGCCATCAATGTATGTTATTCTGATAAATTTCTGTGGAACACAAAACACTGGGGTTGGGATGAAATTCAAGATAGACCAGAAACAGGAGGCAAGTAGACATGTTTACCTAAAGCCAGGAAACTGATGTCTAAATAATAATTACAGTCTTGTACTCTCTGTCTTCAAATATAAGCATTGCTGGCCGGTGACAATCTCTGGTGAAATAACAGTTTTCGAGAGAAGGTGCTTAAATTGTTAGTGACGTGAGTAGAGAAGGTGCTTTTTCTCTGATGAAACAATTCGCAAAGACTGTCCCTGAGTGGTGTAGGCTCTCCGGGGGGTTAATTGAGTAAACCAGATTGACTTAAGCTGGTACTGTACTATCCTAAGGTCATGCATGTCATCAGAGACCTGATATGACCAGTCTTACAAAACTCAGGAACAAACTTGGCTTCCTACTGACCTCACCAAACTTGACGGGGCTGGTCTTCCCAATACACAGAATGTTATTTGTGACCCAGGTGGCGACGCTGGCAGAACTGTAGGGAGGGCTTGGCCAGGTGCTCCACTGGAGGCCATTCTCCAGTTTCTCAAAGACGGAATAATGGCCTCTAGTCACGCATCATGGACATTCACCTCCCATATGGGGGCTGTGTTGTGAGCCAGTTGTGTGGCATCTGTCCATCTGGACCCCACATGCTACTGGAGTCATCAAACATGGTTGTTGCCTTGACAATCCCTCCGCTTTGGGTCATCAGGGTTTTGACAGGTCCCTGTGCTTGCAACAAGAGAGGGGCCTCAGGTTATCAGGGAGACTCAAGGCAAGAACACAGATGGTATCTGCACCGTTCCTTCGATGCTCACAGGGGCCAACACGAAGCAGCATTGCTGGTTTATTCCATCCATGTCCTCCTTCCGCCCCAACTTGGACAAGTGAGTGAGAAGTCTAACAGGAGACCCTGGATGCACGCCTTCTGTGACCAGAGCGGGCCGCCACCGGGCCTGGTGCTCAAATCCATTAAGATCCTCAGACCCAGTCTGGTTTACATTGCCTTTCTCCGCGGCAGAGTTAGCTCTTCTCTGGAAAGTTATGGGCTAATTCAATTCTTGAACACAACACATACTTCAGCACCGTGAGAAAGTAACATTGCAAGAGACTCAATAGGGAAACTTGGTGAGACAAACAATTGCTTGTTGGTAGGAAAGACTTCATGATGGGTTTTCTTAAATAAGAGCGAGCGCACCTCCACCTTCTCTCCTGACACTCAATTGGCAGTCATCCCAGGGTGATGCTTTCAGACGTTGAGTGAATGTTTTTGATAACCTTCATCAAGTTTCTGAAACACAGTTTGAGGGATTTATATTCTTTCAGGTCATAATTTCCCAAACAATTGGCTCCAGTCCTGTAAACTCTGAAAGCTGCACGTCACTACCCCAGAGATGGCCGGCCTCAGCTCTTCTCCCTACTGACTGAGGGGGGAGTGCTGGGCAGGGTCTCTGGTACCCGGTGCACAGTGGTTCACTCTTGAGAGAGTCCACATGATGTGAACTGCCTGGTGCTACAACTTAGCAACATAGTTGATGCTACTCCTGGTTTTTGTACTGCTAATTCAGATATTGATATTATTCGTATTTCTATTATTATTTTAAGTTATATAATTTTTTAAAAACATGGTTGGGAAGCACAAGCCTACCGATCCTTGCCCTCCAGAATGGTTGTGTGATGTACATGGCCCAAGCCATCGCCTGCCTGCATCCCTGTGCTGCTTTGCCAGGCCCAGCCTCAAGGGGCGCCTGCTGGGCGCCTCAGTATTTAAAACCAGACTGTACTCATAGCCTGCCGTGGTGTGGCATCAATAAATGGCCAAACTCATTGGTGTTTCCATGTGATTCATTGACCCCTGCTGTGAGACGCCCGCCATCGCCGCCACCACCACAGGTAACTGGAGTTTAGCAACCCTGAGGAGGATGCTGTCCATGTCTTCCACGCTCCCTGCAGATTCCTCCTACTTCACCCCTCGATCAGTATGTTGCCAGATGAGTCACAGCCCAGGCGAGGTAGAACTTGGGTCTCTTCTCATGAATGTTTATGCAATAATTGGCAATCTACCCTATGGTAATTGGAAGGGATGCCTAAAATTCTCTGCAGTACCAGATCCAATGTATTCAGCATTACCTACTCCTTGTTTTATCCAGAGTATCGGTCTAAGTCAGTGGTCGGCAAACTCATTAGTCAACAGAGCCAAATATCAACAGTACAACGATTGAAATTTCTTTTGAGAGCCAAATTTTTTAAACTTAAACTATATAGGTAGGTACATTGTTATTAACTTAATTAGGGTACTCCTAAGGCTTAGGAAGAGCCACACTGAAGGGGCCAAAGAGCCGCATGTGGCTCGCGAGCCGCAGTTTGCCGACCACGGGTCTAAGTCGAATGTCCAGGAAGAGGTGAAAAACCACAGGAAGAGCATGATGCAGCCTCTGAATCATCAATTTGATTCAAATTGGGGGAACGGAAGCATTTTTTATATAAAATACCTATTGGGGAGTATGGAGTACAACTTTTTTGAGCACAATGTTTTTTTGTATTTTTTTAACTATTTACGTATCTTTATTTTTAAAATATATCTTTATTGGTGAAAGCATCACAGATGTAATATGGAGTATACATTTTTTAAATAAGATAGGAAGCTCCAAGGGCATTTCTTCAACCATAGGGACCACATCCGTCCCACCCCTGGGCTTTGCCCTGTGTTAGCGGTTCTGATGCTGAAGGCTGGGTCCGTGCTCTCTGAGGCCCCTGACCTGGTAACTTCTCAACCCGGACATCCCCCGGGCCCTCCCCCGCTGTGGGGTTGCTCACTGCAGTCCCCCTGGAGACTGTTTACTTGCTGACCCCGTTTTTCCTGGCACAGTGAGCAGAGCACTGCTGGCTGCTGCCTTGCTTTTTCCACTCCGCCCTGACCTCCCACCTGACATGATCCCTCCCGGCTCTAATCTCCGAGCAGGATGCCAAGCCAAACAGTGGCTCTCTGCCCGCGTGGACGCTAGAGCCAACCACTGAGTGTCGGTCACCCCGGGACTCTGAGGCTGGAACGAGCAACCCGTCCCAGGCTGCAGCTGCCTGGTCTGTACTCCGGCCAGAGGCAGGGGCCGGGGCTGCTCCCCCAGAGGAGATGCACTGCCACGTTCCAGTTACTACGGCTGCGCCCTGAACGCCCCCCCAGACTTCTCTGTGCTCATCGACTCTGTGGGTCAAGGGTTCAGGCA